AATTCTCCCTGAAATCGCTTTGCTTTATACACAACTTGCATTTTTACCTCTTCTTCCCATTTCACAATAAACCATAGTTTTTCTGCTATACTATGTCTTAAATACTAAGCAGAATACGCTTAACTTTTTAGCAGCAATTGTTTAATTTTTTTCAATTTACTACAATAAAGAAGTTTAGTTCAAGGAAAAAAAATCCTCTGCCAGTATCTCGATTCTGATGTTAAAACTACGGTACAGCCCACACTGATATTTCTAAAAGTCATTAAAAAAGTGGTTAAGAGAAATTAATGTCTCAACAATTCTTTACAAGAAGAAACATGCAAAAATTTAAAATTGGAAATTTTAAGACTTTTGGATTAAATTTAAATGTAAAATTTTGTACGCCCATTTAGCTGTGTCACTTAAACGAATCAACTAGAAGAAAAAGCCTTCTATCAAGCCTTTGAACTTAGAAAGCTTGAATTTGCTAGAAGGACTAATTAACAGTAAAAAAGATTCTAAAAACTATATTTTTGCTGACAATTAAAGCTTCTGTTTGGAAAAGACTAAAATAACAACGAGGAGAACCTCAAACGATTGGCAGTTTGCATTTAGCAGAAATCCGACGACAACAGAATATGACTGGGCAATGGCAAACAGCACTTCCTGAACGGCCGTATTTCTAAATCAAAAAGCCAACAAAACCAGCATTAATAAACACGGAAACCCGTAAACAAAAACAAACTGATGGACGAAGACACGCAGATACACGGATACAAATGCAGACAAACATTTACACAGACAAACATATATAAACATTTGCATCAGTGACAGATACACAAACAAATATCACACAGCGAGCGACCACTTATAACAAAGCAGTCAATAAGAGTTTGTTAAAAGAGAGAATCCACTAATACTTGTAAAAAGGGTTTTACTTCGTTGTATTAAAATTGGACTTACTGCAGCAGCAAATGTGTGAGAACGAACCTCTTGATGACTAATTTTTATTTCTATTTTTTTTTAAATTTTCTCATTTAATAGTTTCTTCCTTTTAAAGCTCAACAAGAAGTAAAAAATAGGTAAAACGGAATAGAAACACACTGGTATTTCTTCTGCAATAAGTGCCCAAAATTTTAGTGATATTTCTGTTACTAGAAATAGCAGGTTAAAAAGCGATATCCTACACCAAAGACCAATGAAATTGTCCTTGTTAGTTGTCAATTTCTCACATTTTGTTCACCATAAATTCATAATTACATGTTGAGTTGAAACCAAATGGAAGAGAAAAGCAGCACTACTCTTGGCCTATCATTTGCATAACTTCTTCAAAGTACCTATAAATTTCAAGTTTGGGAAAGTTTTTTTCTGTAAATTATAAGCACAGTTTTGAGACATGATGAGTAACAGTATGGAAAACAGGTAAATATAATGACATCTACAAATCCATCTGTTTAACTAAGAGTGCCAAACAGAGGTTTTATACGAAAAATTTATGGAAAAAACAGTTAGGAAACTTAAAAATATCTGAAAAGATTGGTGTTTACGAACTAATAGCTCATAAGCAAATCAAAATTTTAACGTTGTTTCCGCGCAGTAGTGAGCCACAAATTCTTTCGTCAAAATGCGTTTTAGCGAAAAAGAAATTCTTCTGCAAGATGTTGGTAGACGTCCAAGTGTTTAAAACGTTTATCTTTTCTATAGAGGCTCCTCAAGGGGATTTCTGTAGATTAGTTGGACTCACAGTCGAGCAACATGTCATAGTCTTCAATGAACACTTCAGGTTAAGCAATGAGGATATGTCGTTCAAGGAACTGAAAACTGACACAAAAAGTTGGCTGGAGCCATGTAACACTGCCAATTTCCGTAGATGTCAGTGCTTAGCACAGAAACAAAAAATTGTGCTTTATAAGCTCCACTTTAGATATGTTCTCTTGAAACTATAGATTATCGAAACTTTTCTGTTTAGTACACTAGGTCAAGCTCATTTAGGCTTACTCGACTATGATTTTACAATATTTCTCTCATTCTCCTTAATGTTCTCCAAATTTCAGTTGCAATAAGGTACTGCTGGTAATACTGCAAACAATCCTGATAAATCTTAGTAATTTTTTAGGTTAATAACAGAAGATGTGAAAAAATTAGAAATAATTAAAACACCTAATAAAGTTTTCCATCAATTTCTCAATAAATATAAATTAACATATAATGACAGATTTCGCTAAGGCATTAAAATTCAATTGAAAATTATCTCGTTCATCGCAGAAGATGACTGCTTATGGAGAAGTGCTGGACGTTTTCAACAAATAAAGGAATAACTGTCTTCGTAATTAGAGCTTTTTTACCGGTTGTTTTAGAAAAAAAAACAATTTGAGCAAAATATTCAAAGAAAAAGGAGAACAGCAAAAAGTTGCAACACAGTACATAACAGAAAAATTACTCTTCTTTGCAGATTTACATTATTATAGGTTTTTGTAAGAAATCGCTTCTTTGAGAGCAAATTTATCTTTTACACTTCTAAAGAAAAAAGATCTGCAATAAAATTAACTTATGACTTTCCGAATGAAAAAATTTTCTTGGTGCAAATACATCTATCAACGAGCACTGATCAGCAAGTTTAAGAAATGATAATGTAGAGCTATGATTTTGAAAGTTTCTAGGTTTCTGAAATTCATCATAAGAAAAAAGATTGCTTGAAACAGAATTTTAGTAAATGGTGTAAATGGCCCAGCTTTTGTCTACAAGAATTGAAATTTAAGTAAATTCTTTTAGGTATTTACTAAACCTGAACAGTTACTGTAGAATTTTATAAATCACAGCAACTATTCTCTGTTTCTAAACTTTTGTCAGAGGTAGTTTACAGCAAACTTTATTCAAGTAGCTGAGTATCTTTCCACAAATTCTAAGCTTCTGACCTGAATAATCAAAAAAAATTGCTAGCTCGAAAGCTCTTAAATCGATTCCAACATTTATATACTCTAGCACATTACATTTACTGGTATAAGAGAAGAAGTATTTTATTCAGGAATTTGTAAGCACTGAAACCCAAACTGATAAAATATTCAAACTGCAATGTCTTGCATAAGTTTCATTTCCAAAAAAAAACCAAAACTGAAAAACAAAACAAGAAATTTCAATGTTCGGCTGCTAACACACAAACTAAATAAGAAAGTCGACAGATTCTTCGATACGACATCTTGATATGCCTCTAAAAGATATATTCAATCAAATTTAGATTGACTTAATTTAACGTCAGCCTTCCAGATCTTCAACACATTCTGTTGAGTGTTATGAGAAATAATACAGCAATTTAATATATAGACCATTTCATGCCAAGTCACAGACTTTTTTTTGCTTAATAGCCTAAAATTTTTTCAAATTCTGCTGATTTATAGACTCCAAGCCAATATACAGGAAGTTGAACAGAGCACTTGGTTAAGTGAGTCGCTCGCCAAGTTACACCTCCGTAAGCTGTGAAATTTATTAAGTTGTTGCTTGACACGTTTCTCTTCAGAGGCTTGTAATTCATTGCAACTTTAACAGAATTCGATAAATCACGGTATCTTGGGTTTGAAGAATTATCTTCTTGAGATATATATTGAATAATCTAATCTTAATGAACCATTTTAAAGGTGCAACAAAAACAAGATTGTTTTTATAGAACCGTTTCGCAAATTAATTTATTTAATACGTATTCAAAAGAAGATAATATAAAAGAAGATAACAGCAATACTGTTCTCAGTAAATCTTTTATAGTTCATTTCTCGTGACGCAATTTTTCTAGTTTGACTTAGGAACAGACTTCAGTTAGGTGCATTTTGGCAGACACAAGTAACTAAAATAGAGGGTTTCAGTCAGCTGCTGTGAACATTAGAATTAATTACTGAACTCTGTTAGCAAAAAACTTTGCAGTTCCTGGAGTTCCGTAAGGTGTACGAAAGAAAGATTTTATGTACTACTGTAAATGTTCTGCAGAAACCAGTTATCAAATTATCTGCAAGAATTCTACTTTTTTGCAGCCTTTTTTAACAAAAGGAATATTTGCTTACTGTGTGCTGAAATGATAAAGTACCATTTCACAAGAATTTTCAGGACCATAAATATTGTTCCTTAAGTCTCATTGCTTAGCTGAGATCAATAAAATCGTCAAAAAAAACTTATTTTGCTCAAAGCGGTTCCACAACAACCTTCTGGTTTCCTGTTTTGTCAAGATTCTGTAATATGTTAAGAACTGTAATGTTTAGTTGTTTTGTAAATCAAGCGCAATACAGCCTGTTAGTTGTTAGAGACCTGACTCAATATTCGTTTCCAAACAAAAAAGTTGTTCTGCTGAACGAAGGAAACCCAGAACCAATATGAAAAAAAACTAAAGTAAAACAACTAGAATTAGTTACTGGCCTTTATCAAAAGAGCTTTCAAAAGTTTTTTCTTGCTTTTTGGGTGTGAATAAGAGTTTAATTTATTTTGCTCTTTCGGAAACGTTTGTAGAACCAGATGTTTGACCTAAATTAGCAGTGGAACAAGAACGACAATTGGTTCTACTTTTCCATTTTTTAAAGAGTTTTCGTTTTCAACTGTACATAACACGCTTAATATCGTCTGAAAGACTATGATAACTGTCATCTTTTACTTGAATATACATCATTCAAAACTACTGTCTAAAGCGAAACGCAAAATTGTTTTATTCTATACACGTATACGCTTGAGGAGAAGTTGGTAGGAACAGCAAACAATAGCAGGTTTGAATAATTTAAGTTAAAAAATTGCTGACAGGTTAAAAGCTGAAATAAATGACACTTCTGAATTAATTGCACCATAGTACAAGAAACATTTTCTTCCTATTCAGGAGCAGAAGAAACAGAAAGAAAAAGAACTGGTTTTGCAGACCCAAAGCTACATGCCAAATGGTACGTTACAAGTAGTATAAAAACTATAAATAACAATATTTCAGGGTGGAATAGTGGATGATCAAATTATATAGTCCGTCTTCATCCAGTTAACATTGGAGCGTGCAGACCCCACTAGCTAGATCCGGTGTCCCATGTATTTGTTTCACCGTCACAGGCATCTTTCGAATCGCCGTCATCTAAACTTCCATACTTGTCTTGGTCTTCTTTTTCTTCAAACCTTGACGTATCGGTAGATTCTTCAGTTCCTGTTGACTCCCTGTACCAATCCTCAGAATCGGCATTCTCAGTTTCGTCACTGCACTGTTCGTTATTGTCCCAGCCATCACTGTTGTCCCCTCCTGACATTATCACTACGGTACGTGTGGCAGAAAAAAAATACTTTGAAGGCGATGGAATAATTCAGTAAAGTTGCAAACGGATACCCCGGCGGTGGTAAAGCAGTGGGATTGAAAGTTTTCGGCAGAAAAGCCTTTTATAAAGACACCATAGCCGGAAAAAAATTTTTTCAAAGTTTTTTATGTGCAGCTTTTTGTTGGTTTATTACTCTTTCTTCCATTTTTAATAACAAATTAGTTCAATATCATTAATAAAAAACTTACTTGGTTACTGATAACATTTACTTATTTCTATTACTAATGCTTACATTTTTTAAAAATACTCAATTTAAATTAATAAGGTTGATGATTTCACATTTTTTACATTTTTATTAGATACTCCCACAGTATGATAAATTTTTATCAGATAGAGCTATATACATTATCAGTAGAGACAGTATAGTTACATCTTTTGCTCCTTTGAAATTATTCTACCTGTTTACAGGTTTTTTTTCAGTTTTTGTAGCTATTCCGGTTTTCTAAAAATAGTTGCAAAGTGCAATTACCTGTGCACTAAGAACCAGAAAACTTTTTGTTTTATTAATAAGCCAGTTAAAAAGATAAAGCTGAGATAACGTACAGAATAAGACTTACAGCTTAACTCTAGTTTTACAAATTATAAATTTACAAATTACATTCTCTCGACTCGAATAAATTCTTTAAAAAGTATATTAGCCAAATCTTTCATACCTGTACACTTATCGAATAATTTGTTACGAAGCAGAGGAGAGATTTATGAAATAAAAACTTACGTGACTGTCAACGTATCTTATTGGTGGGTACCTTGTGCGTAAATTAATAAAGTTGGAAGAGAAAGCACAATTTCGAGATGCGATTTTATAACCTCACCAACAGTTTTCTCAATTCTTTTGTCATTTCGTGGATAATTTTGCATTTTTAACTTGCTTATTTCTCTTTGGTCTTTTAATGTTCTGCAGTGACTAAGAGCTTTCTAGTTTTAACCTTTATTTTCATAACCAGTTACTTCGTTTTTTACCTGTATTTTCAAGCTCTATACTTTAAGCAAATAAATCTTTTTTTAATGAACCACATAAGTCTCAGTCGAGGATTTTGGGAAAGCTGGCATATGGAAATTATCATACTTTTAATCCAGGCAACTAGAATACCAGAAGAACACTTGCTTTTTATATCATTTTCGCTTCAAGATCAAGCTAGTTGCGATGCTTTCTGAGAACACTAGTAGTAAAACTTGTCCAGAATGATTGACATCAAATTCTTACTTGTTTTATTGTAATAAAAGTTTTTAGAACGTGTAGTTGAAATCATCTTAAATTTACTATAAAGACATATCACTGATGTTCTCGATAATTAATAAACGACTCTAAGTAAAATTTATAATTACAGAAAAAATAAAACAACACTGAATTGTATTCTTCAGCAGCAATGTTACTTCCAGGACAACGACATTCTGTCGTTGACAGAATCATTTGTGGAAAAAAATGTTATGGTTTCTTTTTAAATTCAATGTCTGCTTTGAAATCTATTGAAACGAAACTCCCTCTCTAACTTTCATCAGTAATTAGCCAGTCTGTAAAAATCTTAATTCAACAGTTGCTTTTTTCATTGCCGAATTTAGAAAACTACATGAGCCTTTTTGTGATCGTCAATACAGCTGCTGCATTAAAAACTTGCAGTTTTGCTGAACGAACTAATAAAAAGCTGTGATGACTCTAAAATTATAATTGTATGGTTGAAAGAATAAAAACATTTTATTCAAACTTTCTCTAGACTAATTAAAAAAGCTTACACAAATAAAGCATAAAAGTTGTCAACAAGATTGATGACAGTTATACAGCCTCTAAGTAATAAATGATTAATGTCAAACAGTGTTATCAGTTTGAGCATAAACACTAATTAATAAGATTTTAACAAAAAAAAGTTGTAATTTTAAAGGCGTCAATCAATTAGCAGTTAACGAACAACGAATACATTTAGATAGCAATTTTAAATTTTGCCAAAGTCGTGCAGGCTATAAAACCATCGCTGATAATCTCTCCAACGTCGACATATAAATAAGAGCTGTTTTTTTTTCTGCTTGAGAATAAAAGCTTTAATTTATAAAGTACATATCACTTCAATACTGATAAAAAGGATTTAATTACCTATCTTTAATCAAATTAATGACTGTAAGCGCATCTATACTCAGCTCTTAGCAAACATCAAACTAATATATGTGTATTTTCGTAGAACAGCATACTACCTGAAAAATTAATACATTAGCAGTAAACGAATTAAAGAAGGTAAAATTCTATAAAGCAAAAGACAAGATTTTACGGTTTTACACAAAAAAATCTCTCTTCAATTTACCTAGGGTATGGTACTTCAAGTATTTTGATGTTAAATTACCCTTTCTTGGGGGGTACTCTCTATTAGTCAAAAAGTAACAGAAACATATTTCTCACTTGCAAAGAAAAATAAGAAAAGGTAACTTTTCAATATAAACAGTTGCTGAGTACATTAAGATTCAAAACCTTTCTCTGAGAAATTCAACAAAAGAAGTATCAAAAAGTTAAAAGATTGGAA